GTTTTGTTTTTTGGATGTGACCTGAAGGTTTTGCTGAACCCTTGCACTGCAGGGGTGGGATCCTGCAGGGGCTGGGGGACAGTGCGTTTCTTAGGCCAGCAGTGGCTCAAAGTATGCACGGAGACTTTAATTACTAGGGAGACGCCCAGCTGCCTTTCCAGTCTCCCTTTGAAAAAGTGCTCCTCCCCTTCGCTTAAAAGCTGTTGCTGGCCAAACTTGCTGCTTCAGTCATGCTGGGAGCTGAGCAGAGGTGGGCTTGCATGGAGCAGGAGCCAAGTGCAAGGAAGCACGGTTGTGTTTAAGAGCCTCTCTTGTGCTTATTGTTGTGTTAAAAAAATTACTCCTTTTTTGGACGGTCCGGCTCCAGCTCTTGCAGATACAAAGGGGTACAAGAAGAGGATGTGTTATGGGAGTCAGGTCAAATGTCTACCTGTAAAACATTGGTGTAGCTGTAGTCTGCACCAGTAATGGAGACACAGGCGAGGACTTTATTTTTTATTTTTTCAAAGGTGCCTTAGAAGCAGGGCCCCACTCCCACAGGTGGCAGATCAGCACCAAAACTCATTGAGGCTCCACTGAAAATCCCAGGTCTCTGCAGAGAGCACCTCAGTTTTTGTGCTGAGCCTTTTGTAAGTTGAAGAGTCGGGACCTTCAGCTGTACTGGTGTCTGTCTGCTAACAGGCTATGCAAAGGGGCTACCTGTTGTAACTGAGTGGTTGGTTTTGGTTTTTTTTTTTCATTGCCTTAGGATTCTCTGAAGATGAGAAAAAAATTTAGCGTAACAACTCATCATTTCGCTGTATGCTGAAATCATTGAATATCATGGAGGTGGTCTGAGCACTTGTTTCTGGCTGTTACAATCAAAGGTTTCTACACAGGTGCCTTGAAAGAGGAGACAAATGGAAACTGGAAAACCAGGAAACCTGAAAACCCATTTTCAGCAGAGAGACACTAGCTGTGCAAGAAACTGTCCCTTAGTTTCTCTTCTACTGCTAAAGCCACAAGCCATGTAAAAGCTGAAGCTGCCTTTCGTTGCCTGTTTTGCCCTTCGGTGCTGACCCGTGATTTCCAGATCTCATTGTATCAGTCAAACTCGAGACGCTCTTGACTCAACCTGGCCATGGAATTTCTCTCCCTGGGATTTTTGGGGGCCTTTTCTACAAACGCTTATGTTGCACAGAAGTGAATTCTGGCCATGACCTGTGGCGGGTGGTGTTTTTTCCTCTCCGGTACTGGTAGCAACTTTCAAA